GGCCCCCAAAAAAAAAAAAAAAAAAATAAAAAAAAAAAAAAGAAAAAAAAGAAAGGCCTCTCGGGAAGCCTCAGAGCCCAGCCCGGTGTGGGAGCTGCTCGCTTCCAGGAAGTGCCTGGATTAAACCCAAGCCCCCACGTCTCCCTGGGACACACCCCACGTTAGTAAGAGGCTTGCCGAAGGCCAGGGTGGGAGGAGCATGTCGGGGGGGCTTTGCAAAGGCAGCCCCAGATCTCGTAAGTGACGAGGAGGGTATTTGCTGCAGAGCCATTCCAGAGAAGCCGTGCAGTGCGGTAGACAGAGCATGATCTGGGGGTCCAGCAGCCCCAGCTCTATCTTTTACCAGCTGTGTGACCCTGGGCAAGTCCCTGCCCCTCTCTGAGCCCCAGTTCCCGTGTCTGTCACATGGAGACAATTCCTCCTCCACTGCCCAGGGATGGTCGGTGGTAAGGACGCTGGTAACAGCTAAAGCCTCAGAGGGCCCTTCACATGTGCCAGGCTCTGTCCTGAGGAGTTTACATCTGTTAACACATTTAATTCTCAATGACCCTGAAAGGTAGATCTTACTGTTAGCCCCATTTTCCAGATGAGGAAACAGGCACTGCGTGGTTAAAGGAAGCTGGGCCAGGATTGAACCCAGGCAAGTCAGGCTCCCAAACAGACCCTCGGCCTTACCCTGGGGCTCATCTTCATCCAGGCCCCGGATGCCTGGTAGACAGGCACATGTGTGGAACCCAGGCTGGGAAGCACACTCTGCCACCCCAGCGCCCTGGAAATGCAGGGCTCTTTGCTCCGAGCAGAAGAAAGGCCCTCTTTGAGGTGGCAGCTCCGTGTGGCCTGGGGCTCTGGGTCTCACATTCCACGGATTTTTGGCCCCTGACTTGGGCTTGGCAGCCTGGGCCCCATTGTTCTGCAACTTGGCAGGAGCCGCAGGGCACAGGCAGCTCCTGGAGGTGCCCTGTGCATGGAGGGGCTTTTCCCGGGCTTTTCCCTGCTCTCCGTGTCTCATCCTTCCGGATCCCTTTGCCTTGGTCTTTCTGCATCTGAACCCCCTAAGAAGGAGTTTCTGGCAGGAATGTCCAGGGTAAAGGGGTTGGGTTTCTGTTGGGGTGTAGACAAACAGAATGCAAATCGTCTGAAATCCAACACCCTGGAGAGCCTCAAGAGCCAGTGGCTGTCTTGGACCTGGGAGGCGCATTGGAATCAGAGCTGGGTTCAGATCTGCCCTGTGTATCCTACTCACAACACGACCTTGAGTCTCCCCTCTCTGAGCCTGATTCCCTGTCTGTAAAATGGGTCTGTCAACAGCCCAGGCTAAGTGGAAGAGATCTGGCCACTGGACGCCTCAGAGAACCTTCACTTCCTTCCTCCCTCCTCCCCCTTCCTTCCCCCTCTGCCTCCTTGCCCTTTATCTGGCCCTCTCTGGCACTGGGGGGCAGGGTGCGGGGGTGGGCTGTGACTTGCAGACTCCTTTCCTGGAGCAAAGGCCCTTCCTCCTCATGGGGACGTGAGGTATAGCCGGTTCTATTAGGTTCCGGGCAGAACTGCTCTTAGGCACAGCAGTTTGCCCCCGGGGGTTGGCACACCAGGCGTGTGGACAGCAGTGCTGCATCTGCTCGCTGCCATCCTGAAGGGAGAGGGCTCTGGGCCCCCTGTGGGGGGAATGGCTCCTCGTGGCCCACCGGCCCTGGGATCACCCCTACGCACTCAGCGCTGCCCCATTCTTGAGTGGAGGGGGCTTGTTCCTTGGGGAGCCACTGGAAAGGAAGTGATGTATTGCTGGTAAGAGCCTGTGAGGGGTGCAGTGCAGGGGTTATGGACAAAGATGCCATCACAGGTTTGAGTCCTGGCTTCACCTCCTGTGATCCGTGTGATCTGGGCAAATCTCTCAACCTCCCTGTGCCTCAGTTTCCTCATCTGTAAAGTGGAACAGTAACAGAAGCTGTCTCGTGGAGGTGGTGTTAGTGAGATGGTGGTGAGATGGGCTAACAGAGGTGAAATGTATAAAGAAAGGGCCCAGCATAATAAGGACACACAGTTGTTGGCTTGCCATCATTATTACTGTTATTTCTGACAAGGCCAGGGCCCCTTACTTTGCTCCTGGAGCCCTGTGTGAGGAACAAGGTGAGCTCCTGAGAGCCTGCAGACCGCCTCTGGGTGCAGATGCTAGATCGCCACGTGGGGAATGACATTCGCAAATACCTCCTAGGTCTCTGCCCAGTGTGACTTGCCGAAGGTCCCAGCTGGGGAGTGACAGGGTCGAGATACCAACCCAGGCCCGCTGGCCCTAGGAGGCAGGGTGAGGCGGGACGTTGGAGCCAGAGATGGATGCACCGTGGTTTCCAGCCCGCGTGGTCTGTGAGCAGGTGGGCAGGTGAGCCAGTCACGCGTGGGCCTGGCCTTTGGGCCACACCTGGTGCCTTCTGAGATAAAGACAGAACCTTTTTGCGGAAGACAGTTCTGCAGCCTTCCCCCGGAGCTCTCCCTAAGGGCAGAGGACGGTGAGCGTGTCACCCCGAGGGGTCTGGGGTTGCAGCCCGAAGCAGCTGCAGGGCCTGCAGGAGTCTCCGGTTTTATCTTAAAATTCATGCGCATTTTACATTTTGTTCCCTCTGTATCCGGTTTATTGCCGCACACATTTCCCTCCTGAGTAACAGCACTGCCTTGGGAAGCTTCTCGTGTTTATCTGTTTATCCTGGGGCTTTTCGTACCCAGGTCCTCTCTGTGTCACCCGGGGGGTGTGCACTCCAGTGCGGAAGCTCGGGCGCAGATGGTGGGGAGGTGCTGTGGCCCCATCTGCATTGCGGGAAGCCACCTTGGTGGCCCATCTGGAGGAGGAGGGCTTGGCGGAAAGGGCACCAGGCACTGGTGGAGACCCAGGAGTCCAGGCGGAGGCGAGGCCTGGGCTGGGGAGAGGCCTCAGAAGTACAGGCACACCCCTTAATACCCTCCACATGACACCCCTTTGAGATAAGAGCAAAGAGACGACAGCAAGAGATATATCTCTTTATATGTACACGTTAGGATGAAGCACATAAGATGCCGTGCGTGAGGAGCAAAACTGGCTACTGCACAGGCAGGAAACGGCACAGGCCGGGCTGGGTTTGACGGGTTGCTCTCAGCCACCAGGGGCTCCCTGCTAGGCTGAGGCGGGTGCCATCTGCAGACCGTGCCCCTGCTCCATGTGTCCTTGCTTTCTGCCATCTACTTTGTATGCTAGAGAGCAGTTTTACCCCAAAATGCTGAGGAAAGGGGTGTAAGGGAGGAGCTGGGCCTGCCCTGAGGACACAGAGGAAGAATGGGTGCTGGACGCCAGTGTGCAGATTCTAGAGAGGCTCGGGGTGCCTTCAAGGGCAGAGGTGGGGAGGCCGAAGGTCCAGCTCAGCAGGCGATTCAGGGCTTGGTGGCCAAACTTTGACAGGTGTCGTAGACATCTCTAAGCTTGGGAGGGCTGGCCCGTCAACTACCAGAAAGAGCCACAGTGGGGAGGAAGGAAGTGTGATCTGTGACCAGATCTCAGTGGCACTGACCATAACAGCCCCATTGGTGTGGGTTCCTTTCCCACTGCCCAGATCACCCGGTTCACGCAGCAGGACCTGCCAACCCACTGGACCAGGCGACGCCTATCAGCTTGGGCTTTGGCTGGTGGAGATGGCTGGGGGTGCAGATGACCAGGTGACTTACAGGTGGCGAGAGGCAGAGTCCGTCTAGAGAGAAAGACGATGTCCTGGGTTGGGTTCTCCAGAAGCAGACCCTGAGACGAGACAGTATGGGGAAAACCACGAGGGAGTGGGGGAGGCAGACAAGCAGGGTGTGATCTCAGACCAAATCACGACCCCACTCGGGTCTCTGGAGTGACTTACCCCCAGAGCGTCCTGACCGGAAGCAGGGGAACTGGCTTGCACACTCGCCCCCTGGGTCATTGATTCCTAGGTTCTCCAGCGCTCCAGAGGGTATAGACGAAGCTGCTCTGATAGCCTGGCCAGCCCTTCGGGGTTCTGTTTGGGGAGGGTCAAGTGAGAGGTGCCCGTGGGAATGCCAGGGCGGGGTCTGGTGGAAGGAACAGCAGCCTGATTAGGGAGCCCTCGCCACATGCCCGCCCTGCACCCTGTGTCTTCGAGGCATCCTGGGGGAGCCCAGGCCTGGCCCTGGACACTGAGGTTTAGGTGTTGTAGAAATGCTTATGGGTGAACGGAGGGCTTTCCTCCCTAGGAGGAACGCTTCCCCTCTTGAGTCCAGGAGCACCGCGAGCCATACAGCGTCTTCTGTGTGCCTGAGCCTGGGTCCTGCCCTGGAGGTACTTGTCTGCTGGGGAGGCCAGCAGAGGCTGCCTGTGACACCAGCAGTGGAAGCGATCTTGGGAGTGATACTGAGATGGCCTTTAGCTCAGGCCTGGGCACATGGTGGGCAATTAATCAGGACAGCTACTGCAGTTACTATGGCAGCTGGTGAGTGGCATCCTTGACTCTCCTGGGGGCCTCTGATGTGGCAGCCCAAGCCCTGGAGGTTGAGGGGGCTGTTCCCTGTGCAGAGGGCTCTGCCCCTGCCTGGAGGTTTGTGCAGGACTTGAGTATGACCTGTGGCCTCGGCCTTCCCAGTGTCTGGTGCACCAGGTCCCAGCAAGGACAGGCATGTGGGGTCCTTCCTGCAGCTGCTACTTGCAGTCTGACTCAAGGTCTCTCTCTTCTGGCCACTAGACTGCCAACCTGGGTTTGTATGGGGGTGAGGCACAGAGGACAGTAACAGGACAAGAACAGGCTTTGGAGTCTGGCACGTGTGGCATTGAATCTGGCGCCTCCCTTGCTGGATGGTGGGGGCACCTTTAGACTTTTCCCTGCACAGAATCTGTGTTCCCCTCTATCCAACGGGGACAGCCTCGCAACCTGGTCGGGACAGCGTAATGGAGGCAGGTGGGTCACATGGGCCGTCAGGCTAGTTCTGCCACTTCCAAGCCGCATAAACAAGGACGAGTTACCTAACAGCTCGGCACCTCAGCCTGCGCATCTGTAAAATGGGACAAGTGAAATTACTTCCTCGATCCGAGGGCCATCGAGAAGAGAAAGTGCACAGGCCTGTGTGTAAGAAAGCCCTTCGTTTCTGTTGCAGCCCGTGTCCTCGTGAGGCTGGCATGCAGGATGGCAGGACAGCCTAGCCACCTGCCCCATGGAGGGAGCCCGAACAACCTCTGCCACACCCCAGGGCCCGCGCACCCTCCTGACCCACAGGTAAGCCGTCCTCCTTCATCTGCAGTGCACTGGAGAGTCTGGGAGGAACACAGATCCCTGAGGCTGCTTTGTCCCAGCCACAGAAGGATGCCCCTTGGCAGCCCCCAGGCACCTTGAATGCTTCCAGTGATGGGAGCAGAGTCACTACCTAACCATTCTGCCCTCCATCCCAGTCAGCCACACTCACAGATGCCTCTCTGTTCCACGCTGTGGGCCGGGATGCCAGGCCCTGGTCCTATCCCTGGGGTTTCCGTGTGAATGGAACAGCTTTATCTCAGAGGGGTCAGCACTGCTTAGGACAGACATAGAGGGAGTTGTGGAGGCCCCCAGGAGAGTGAGGGGCGCAGGCGAGCAGACGGGGTGCGCTTCCTGGCTCTGAACTGGTCTGCCTCCTTTCTGGTCTCAGCTGCGTTCTGGCCCTCTTTAGCCTCTTTGTCTAGGACCCGCAGAGCTTTGGGGACGCTGGTTTCCTTACACTGGCCCCACCCTCTCAGAGAGCCAGGCAGCCTTTGGCAGATTTTCGGAAAGTGGCTTCTGGGGTTGTGAGCTGCTCGCACACCCCATGCCTTTGCACATGCCATTCCCTGGGCCTGGGGTGCCCTCCTTGACACCTCCAGGCCTCAGTCCAAATGCCACTGCTTCTGGGGAGCCTTCTTGTTCCACGGCACTCCCTTCTCTGTGCTGTCTCCACACCTACACACAGGCACAAGGTCATGGCCATGATCGCATCCGCTGGGGCACTGGCTCCTGGGTCTGCCTCCCTTCCTGGACAGAAGCCTCTGGGGTGGGGCTTTGCCTGCCAAGTTCATGAACTGCAGATTCGTGGAGTTCACCACCCAGGACACCGCCGTGTGTGAACAGACCCAGGTCTGCTCTTAGGGAGCACACAGCCTCACAGGAGAGAAAGACAAGAAAGAAAGCAGAAGAAACTGGGGGTCAGTGGAACTCCAGCAAGGAACGTGGTCTGAACTAGGGGACCAGAGAGGCCTCCTGGAGAAAGTGGCTTGCAAAGAACTGGAGGGGACAGAGAGCTTGGCTGGGCAGATTGGCCAGGGCCAGGTGCTGTAGCATCCTGTGGGCAGCCTGGAATGATGAAAAGTAATTGTCCAGAGTTGGCTTGTGTCCCAGGCCTGTGAGACCTAAGTCAGGAGGAGACTCAGAGTCAGCCACCTTCCTGAGCCATGGAAGGATTGTCACAGCTTCTAACTGCCTAGTCCTGTTGGAGGACTTCAGGTGGACTGGTGTTTGACCTGCTTGGGCAGGGTTGCCATGTACGGTTGTCTAGGTTCTACACTGCCCAAAGGTGCCTGGCCAAGGAGGCAGGTGAGTCTGAAATCCTTCTCCTGCGCCTGAGCTGTCATCAAACTGTGCTTCCTGGTGTGATGCTGCATCAGCCCAAGGGAAGGGGCACATCTATAGATTCACACAGAGGTGACATGTTAAGTAGGAGAAACTGTGTATGTGCGCGCACACACGCACAGGGGGTCCAAAGGCATCTATACTATTCATCCTCCCCATTCCAGTTACTGGCTGGGATGCAGGGGCCCAGTTCCTAGGTGGAATTTGGGGAGAAAGCTGGGAAGCCCATAGACACTGCTGGTCCAGGGTCCACCAGGACACCTCCCCGATGGCTGGGGGCAGTGGGGCTTCCTCGGGTAATGTAGCAATTTGTCATATTAAGTCATTCACTAACAATTGAGTCCCCCTTGATTAATCTCCCAGAATTAGCCAGTTGCATTTTGAGCAATTAGGGTTAATTACAGCCTCATTTGGCAGAGCAGAGAGTCCCATAATTATGTCACAAACAAGGCGAGGAGGTGGTGGGCTGCCGTGGCAGTGGCATCTTCTGGGTGTCTCCTCACACATGTTGGAGTGGGTAATGACATAGTTAAGTGTAATTAGATAGGATTACTCAGCTTTGGCTAGCGGCTGGCGGGAAAGATGCCCCTGGTTCGCCAGCATGTGGCCGGGTCTGCAGAACTGGGGCACAGCCGCATTGACGCTGGGGCTGCTGCAGGTCAGGGCTGGAATGAAAACAGTCAGGCGCTTTCTCTCTCCTCGTCTCATAGAGCACTGGTATTTAAACACTGTCTGGGGAGAGATCACGGCTGGAATCTTGCCTGTTTTCAGGACATAGAAACACCTCAAAGTGACGGCACAGGCATTTTCCTTTATGGCAGGAGTCACTGCTGTTTCCCTGAAATCACCCTGAGAGAAAAGAGCCGGGCTACATGATGGCAAAATGCTGTGCTCTGGACCAGGCTGGGTTTGGTTCCCAATTCCATCCCTCACCAGCCAGGTGACATTGGGTAAATGACCTCTCTGAGCCTCAGTTTCCTCTTCTGTAAAATGGGGCCCTGAAGAAAGTGAGATGGTATATTTTAAACACCCAACATGGTACCTAGCATTGTTGGTGTTAAGGAAATGGTATGTCATTGATCTTATTCTTATATTTTAAAAATCATTTTGGTTTTCACAGCTAAAGAGCCCAGGGCTGGAAATACCCCCAGTGTAGAAAGAACAATTTGACAAATACTCAAACTCTGGCTTTTGTTAACCTTCTGTGTCCAAGCCTAGTGGTTTGTTCATTTCAAGGAACTTTCTAGCTCTGGGTGCTGCCAGCCTATGAAAATATGTTTGCTGAACTGGGTTGAATCATATGTGAAATTCATATATACTTGGGAAAGCTGAACATGCTTGGTTTTATTGAGGTTTCTAATGAATGAATGAGTGGAGTTGAGAAGAGCTTAAAATGCCCCCATGGTTTATGATTTTACCAATTTGCTTCAGAGCATTTTCATCAGGAAAGAAACGCAGGGCTCAGCTGACCCACTACGAAACACATGAATTTCCAAGAAGGAGAAAGGTGTTCTTGTCTGAGAAGTCCCTGGCTAATGTGTCTTCCATCTGGAAAGTCTTTGCAAACCTGCTTGGGACGTGCCAAGTTCAGTTATATTCGGCACTGTTCAGAGACAGAGGAATGTGCATAACTTTGCAGGGGATGGGGACAGCTGTCATAAGTTCTGCATTGCACCAAAATCTTTATGAAAATCTTCCCAAAACAATGATGATAGATAAGATTTAATGACCAAATATTAACGGCCATTAAAATTCAAGAAGTGTTTGCTAAGTGTTGTAAATACAGCAAGTGCTTGTCTCGTTTCTGCCTTGGGTCTGCGGGCAAGCCCTACACATAAGTAAATAAAGATGGTGCAGAGGTGAGGCTCCCAGGGAGGGATGGACCAATGCAGGGGGAGCCCAGAGAATGGGGTGGCTTGTTCTGCCCGGGGCATCAGGGTTGACAAGGAAAGCTCTCTCTAGAAAGAAGATGACACGTGGGCTGACAATGATCAGGAGTTTGGGGCAAAACAGGGAGAGGAGGATGTTCCAGGAAGAGGAAGGAGCCAGACCTGAAGGTGCAGGACCAGTCAGGTTGGATTAGTATTTAAATACCCGTGCTTAGAAAAGGTAACGGCTGGTGTTTATGAAAGGCCTGGAATCCACATTATCATTTGGAATTGAATCTGTAGCAAATGGGGAGCCCATTTGGGGTTTAAATTGACAAGGGGCTTGGGTTTTAGGTCACTGGTAGCTGGGGCCCAAGGCACAAGTTAGGTGAAAATAGGAGGTCACGTGATGCTTTGGCCTTAAATGGGCCCGACACAGGGAGGGAAGACTCCAGAGACTTCCAGGGGGAAAATCCAACTGCCCTTGGTAACTGAAGGGATTCGGGAGAGGGAGGTAGAGGGCGTGGCCAGCCTGCTGGCATGGGGGCCGATGCTCTTTATGGTTTGTTTCCTTCAAGTCTTTGCTTGTTAGTCGTTGGAGCTGGTTCCAGATTCTCTCATCCGTGTGTTTAAGCTCAGCTTTCTCTGAGCTTGGTTAGTGAGGCTCGTCCTGGGGGAGCCACCACAGCTGAGGTGACCTTAGGTTTTGTCATCAGGCGTCTCCCATGTTCGGGCGTCTTGCTCGCTGCTCCCATGAGCTGATGGCACAAAGCTGAGTGTAGACAGACTTCCGAGCTGAGACAGTCACAGTGGTGGTTGTATCTACATTACGATGCCTGGCAGTTACCTCATTTCGTCCTCCTACCAACTCAAAAGAAGGAGACCTTATTCAGAGCTCCATTTTGCAGGGGAGGAAACCAAGATGAGTGGTAACTTGTCCTTTTTGCTGTTGAGGGGCAGAGCCCAGAGCCAGGGGTGGATCCAGGCCCTGTGGCCCCGCAGAGCATTTTCTTGCCACAAGGGCTGCAGGAGGGGAGACTGGCTTCGGGGACAAAATTAGCCAGATTGTGAAGAGCTGAGTGGGGCTGGCCTCGTAAAGAGTCTGACAATATGGACTCTCTGTAAATCGCACCCTTCTTTCGTGCCACACAGATTTAAAGCACATTGCTATACACACATGTACCGCATCCATGAGAAGTTCCCTGCACATGATGTCAGGTGTCTTTAAAGGTGAAACTCGTTTACAGGAAATGTCATTCTGATGAAGCGTGCTTTTTAAAATCATAGAAACGGTTGCCTTAAAATTAATGATGCATTGCAAATAGCAGGGAAAAAAGACCCATCCAGTGTAAAGATGATTAAAATTCAGGTCAGAAGTCTGACTTAGTCAGGCTAAATTTTTTAATGAGATTTCAGAAAATTAATTGGGCGAATGCATTTTTATTCTTTTAACATGTAATTTTATGCTCCTGTTTGAAAAAAAAAAAGGATTTGTCGATGGCTGAGGCTTATTGTGGTTCAAACATTTTAAACTCAAATTAGCGCAGGGTGGGGAGCACTTGTGGCCTAATTTGATCTGACTTGGGGAAGAGAGCTGGGTCTCTCCGAGCTTTCTGCGGTGGTCCAAGACACTCCCTCCCCCTGCTGTATGTCTGGTCGTGTCCTCCCATTTCTTGGGAGGGTGCGATTGGGGCTGGAGGTGACTCAGGACCTCGGCCGCGTCCTTGACTCCTGATCCCACCAGATTCCTCCTGCTGCCCAGGGAGTTGCTCCCAGAAGCTCCTCCTCTCTGAGATCGTGAGTCCTCCCCAGGCCTACCGCCACGTCCTCCCTGCCCCCCCACCCATCTCTTCTACCTTTTTGGGAGAACTAAGGGGCTCCCACCCTGGGGAAGGGGGATGAGCAGGTCAGAAATGGCCTCTGGTGCCCACAGCACAGCCTAGAAAGGGAGGCGAGCCTGTTGTCTAGCACAGGCCCTGGGTGACTGGCACGAGGTTGGTAAAGTCAGAAGCTGCAGGTACATTCACCTCACCACTTTCCTGTAGCCAGAGGATGTTGGGTAAATGACCTCTCTGAGCCTCAGTTTCCTCATATGTGAAATGGGGCTGGGGAGACCTAAGTGAGATGGTGTACGTTAAACATCCAGCATGGTACCCAGCATCAGGGGTGTTAAGGAAATGGGATGTCGTTGATCTTATTCTTGTATTTTAAAATTCATTTCAGGGAGTTCCCCGGTGGTCCAGTGGCTGGGACCCCACGCTTTCACTGCTGTGGCCTGGGTTCGATATCTGGTCAGGGAACTAAGATCACACAGGCCACGCGGCGCGGCCAAAAAAGAAAGAAGAAGAAACATTCATTTTAGTTTTATAGCTAAAGAGCCTGGGGCTAGAAATATGCCCGGCGCAGACCCTGGGTGGGGTGTGGACGGGGGTGATGATAATGACAGCTGACAACTCCCTGTGCTTGGTCCCTGGGCCAGGCTCCCACCAGGCCGGGCACACCCTGCCTCAGTTCACCCCCAGCCCCTGGGAAACAGGTGCTGCCATTCTCCAGACATTCTACAGTGCCAACCCAATAGTAATAATAACAACAAACATGATAATGACAACAAACATGCGGCATTTCCTAAGTGCTGGGCTGTCTTCTAAGTGTTCACTCATTAACTTATTTAACCTCCAACAACCCTCTGGAGGGCGCGCTGATTATCTCAGTTGGACAGATGAGGAAACCGAGGCCCAGAGGGCTCACCGGGAAGTGGCAGAGCCAGGACTTGAACCCAGGCCTCCAGGCCCCAGCTTTAGTGTGTCAACCGACAGAGCCAGAGTGGCAGTCACCTCTCTGCCAACCTGGGCCCAGGGATTGTGTTTATTTTCCCCGGGAGGCAGCATGGGGTCCCAGACGTAACAGGGGACAGTAAGCGTTACATGAGCCATTTTCAGAAAGGCCATCAGGAGGATGTGTTGGAGCCGCCATCATGGGAGTTGTTCAGGGCCAGCCCCGTGTTTGCCCAGCAGTTTAGAGCTCCCCAGACCCTCTTGTCCTGGAATCCTCCGGGAAGTCCTGGGCTGGTGTTTCTAACATCCCCCATCATGGGTGACCTCTCTCTGATGCAGGAACAAGAGTGGAACTTGCCAGGGCCCACCCAGGAGGTGGGTGGCAGCAGGGAGAGGCCTGGCCTTTGGGGGCAAGAGCTCAGTTCAGCTTTTCTCTACTCCGAGCCCCTGAGTTAAATCGGGGTCAGGACTCTGCTGGCTCAGGCAGCTGCGCCCAGGAGCCCCGTGTCCCGCGGTGACCCCCACCTGAGCAGAGGCCCCTCTGGGGACAGGGCCCGGTCCTAACCCCTGTAAGGGGAGCCGAGGCCCCTGAGCCCCCTCACCGCTGTGCTGCTGCCCGGGTAACCTGCCCCCTCCTCAGAGCTTTCCTCTAATTAGGTCGAATGGGCTGTGACAGGAAATGCAAATCTGGGTCATCGCATATGCAGATGTGCAGGGGAGTCTCAGCGATGGTGGCTGGGAAGTCGCCCGCATCCTCTGGGAGCTTCCAGTGGCTGTGGAGTTGGGCCGTGTGGGGAACATCCTTGGGGTGGATGGAGAGCACTGGGGACTGACCACTCGCCACAGAGGGAAGCAGCCCCACGTTGGCAGAGCCAGGATCGTTAGTGAGCACATCCCCCAGACTCCTCACTGCCCCATGTCACCTGGCAGCACAGCTGGGTCTCTATCGTCAGGGAGTTCAAGTCTCAGCTCCCCACTGCCTGTGCCTCAGTGTCCTTATTCATAAAGTGGGATTAATAAGTCTTGTTTGGGCTTCCCTGGTGGCGCAGTGGTTGAGAGTCCGCCTGCCGATGCAGGGGACGCGGGTTCGTGCCCCGGTCCGGGAGGATCCCACGTGCCGCGGAGCGGCTGGGCCCGTGAGCCATGGCCGCTGAGCCTGCGCGTCCGGAGCCTGTGCTCCGCGACGGGAGAGGCCACAACAGTGAGAGGCCCGCGTACCGCAAAAAAAAAAAAAAAAAGTTTTGTTTTACAAGGCCGTTAGGAGACTTTAGTCCTAAGACCTGTCTAAGCATCTAGTACAGCAACGGACGCATAGTATGTGCCTAATACACGAAAGCTTGTCGTCGTTATTTTCATGACCACGTGTGATCCCTCCAAGTGCCAAGAAAGCCGCCTTTTTCTAGGGTGTGTGATTTCAGCTGCACCCATAGAAGTGACAGTGGCTGGGTCACAGAGTCCCTTCTGCACCAGGCTGTTTTGGGTGCATTTCGTTGTGTCATTTGACAAGCATGCCCTGAGCACTTGCTTCGAGTGGGTCAGAGCCTTAGTTCAAGGGGCAGAAAGGGAACTAAGACAGGGGCCCACTTGGTGAGGCCCATGGTGGGGGGATGGGTGGGACCCAGGTGGCTGAAGCAGGAAGTGTAGGCCTGGCTAGTCACGGTCTCAGAGGAAATGCAGAAGTGGCATCTGAGTTGGGAGGCCACACAGCACAGGGTGAAGGGTATAGGTGAAGGGTGAAGGCTCTGGAGTACCCAGCCCCGGGTTCAACTCTCCGCCGTTACTCATGGTGGGGTCTGGAGCCTCCCCTCCGAGCCTCCGCTCGGTCTCCTGAAATGGAGATTGCGATGATGTCCGCTCACAGGGTCCTGGGAAGCATTCTGCACGGTGCCTGGCATGTAGTCCGTGCTCAGTAAATGCATGCTTGCTCGTCTTAGGTGGACGCGCAGTGTATAGGTAGGTCAGTTGCTGTGACTAAAGAACCCAGAGAGCAGCAGCTGCTGGGTGAGAGCATCCCTTTCCTCCGCCAGCCCTCCCTCCCGCTCAGGGCCCCGGGTGGAGCATCTTCAAATCTCTGGAGTCCTGGAGACTTCAGAGTCGGGGTGGGCCCAGCTGTCATCTTGCTGAGGGATGGAGGCAGCGGGATTGTGGGCTGCCAGGCTGAGTTCCATTTCTCATTCCTGGCAAGAGGGTGCCCGTTAGGGTCTCCTTGGCCCACGGCTGAGCCTCGGCGGGTGCAGAGGTGGTGGGTAGTTGCTCGGGGTCCCCGCTGGCTTCCTTACTCCTGCCCTGCCCACGCCTGCCAGTAACATGACTGCAACCACTAAGCACCTAGTGTGTGCAGGGCTCAGCGATCTCGTGGGACCCTCACGCCCACCCTACTTTCCCCTTATAGACGAGGAGACCGAGGCACAGGGTGGCTTGTGTAACTGCCAAGGTCACCAGCCAGCGACCCAGGCTGATTGGCTCCACTGTCAGGGTTCCCAAGGCTCTTCCAGGGCCTACTGGTCTCTTGTTGGCATTTCTAGCAGGGAGAATTCCAGAACACAGCCCAGTGGAATACTTGAGCTTCCACACTCTCGGATGATCTGACCCAAGTCTGGAAGAGACATTTTTCGCTTCAGAAAATTCAGCGGCTTATTCTTGCTGCAGTGGGGCTTTCAGGGTTCCTTGCCCCACCCCTGCTCCCCAGACTGAATCCTGCACACATTTCTGCACAACTACTATATGGAAGTCATCTGGCAACAACAGAGATCCTTTCTTCATGCCACCATCCAGCTGGGGAGGGTCCCCAGTGTCAGTGATCGCCCCCCCTGAGAGTAGCAGGAGGGAGGGCACATCCCGCCAGGCTGACGTGGGGCATTCTCTCCCCCCTCCCCCTCCCAGGGCCCAGCGTTGGCGCCCCCTCCTCCTCTTCCCGAGAGTACCTTTGCAGGTGTGTTTGTGTGTGTGTCGGCGGTGGGGAGGTGCCTGGCCACTGCTGCCTCACCTGTTGGCTCCATCCCTGGGCAGGTCCTACAGCTTAATCATGGCTTTCAATGCTGGCCCCTGGAGAGTCATCACGAAGTCTCCAGATTCTTCACGCTGCCATAAAGGAGGCAGTGTATCCAAAAAATGGGCTCAGAGCATCAGGCTGCAAGTTTAACCTTCGTATTCTCGTCTCTGTGATGGGACTGGCTACCCCGGGAAGGGAAGTTGCCGCTTTTAGGATGACTTGCAGGGTTAGGGTTGAGGTTGCACATGGAGGACCCACAGGGCCTCCCCGTGGTTGTGTGACTTTGGTGAGTTGCTTCCTTAGACATTTATTGCACCTACTCTGCTGCCCGGCTCCACCGGGACAGAAAGGATTCAGGAGTGACAAAGGCAGGCAAGGCGCTGGCCCACAGAGCCAGCCTTCAGGGGGCGGAGACAGAAATGAGCAAAGGAAAAAGTGATCACATACTGAGGGATGGTGATAAATGCTGTGGAAGAGATCACATCTGCAGAGTGGGGTCCTCGGCATCAAATGGAGCTGGTGTGGAGCGCGCCAGGGGGCGAGGGGGGCTCTGATAGTGGGGTTGGCAACCAGGGTCCCTCCTTCACCTTGTAGGGGCACTGCTGGGGCTCAGGAAGGGGCAGCAGCCGCCCACC